ATTAACTGATTGAAATTTATTTCAAAAGCTCCAGAAGAAAATCATTCCTAAATGTAAAAAGTTTTATTAAAAAAAAAATTAGCTCTACTGAAAAAATCCAGATAGACATTTAGTTGCAGGATCAACTGGTCAGGTTGCTCTCAAAATGGTCACAACACAAGCATCGGCAGTGAAAACCCTGTTCTGCCTTTGCCAATTTAACTCTATCTGGGAGCACTACCTTTTCAGATAAAAGAGTTTAGATACTGTTGCCAAATCAAACCTGGGCTTCTACACAAAAGGTATCAAATATGACTTTAGTGCTTCATGTCTTTTTATTTGACTGGGTTCATTAGCTCTACTGAAAAAATCCAGATAGACATTTAGTTGCAGGATCAACTGCTCAGGTTGCTCTCAAAATGGTCACAACACAAGCATCGGCAGTGAAAACCCTGTTCTGCCTTTGCCAATTTAACTCTATCTGGGAGCACTACCTTTTCAGATAAAAGCGTTTAGATACTGTTGCCAAATCAAACCTGGGCTTCTACACAAAAGGTATCAAATATGACTTTAGTGCTTCATGTCTTTTTATTTGACTGGGTTCATAAAAACCAACAAACTCAATTTAATCAGGGTAACAGGATTCAAACTTTTCCTTATTATGAATAATTTAAACATACTTTTCCCCCAATTTTTTTTTTATTGTGGTAAGACACACATAACATAAAATTTATCATCTTAACCATTTTTAAGTGTGCAGTTCAGAGGCATTAAACGTATTCTTAATGTTGTGCAACCATGACTACCATCCATCTCCAAACACTTTCTATCTTGTAAAACTGAAATTCTGTACCCATTAAACAATAACCCTCAACACCTCCACCCACAACCCTAGCAACCACCATTGTACTTTCTGTCTCTATGATTTTGCCTACTCTAAGTACCTCATATAAGTGGAATCATACAGTATTTGTCTTTTTTGTGATTGGCTTATTTAATTTAGCATAATGTCCTCAAGGTTTATCCATGTTGTACATATGTCAGAATTTTCTTCCTTTTTAAGGATTAATATTCCATTGTATGTGTGTACCACATTTTGCTTATCTATGCATCCACCAATAAACATTTGGGTTGCTTCTACGTTTTGGCTATTATGAATAATGCTTTTACAAACATGGGTGTACAAATATCTCTCTGACATTCTGTTTTGAATATTTTTAGGTATATACCCAAAAGTGGAATTGCTGGATCATACAGTAATTCTATTTTTAATTTTTTGAGAAAACTTTTTCCACAGCGGCTGTACCATTTTACATTCACACCAATAGTTCATGAGGTTGAACATATCTTTATTTTATGTCTTCATAAGTATTTCCCACTTAGTTCCTCTTTATGGTAACAGGTAAAAATTCTTGGTATGCCTTAACCTAATACTCTTATTTTATATAAGCAGGTAACTGGGGGTTGGGAGGAGGAAGATAACCAACTTATCCCATATTATTTCAACTTGTGCTTCTGTTTATTCATTTGTATAGGATGATTAATTTTATATGCCAATTTGGTTGGGTCACAGTGCCCAGATGTTTGATCAAACATTATTCTGGATATTTCTGTGAAGGCATTTTAAAATGAGATTAACATTTAAATTGGTGGACTTTAGGTAAAAATAGATTACTCATCTTAATGTGCGTAGGTCTCATCTAATCAGTTGAAGGTCTTAATAGAACAAAGACTGACCTCCCTGAGCAAGAAGGAATTCTGCAAGCATACTGTCTTTGGATTCACACTATACCTCTTTCCTGGGTCCAGTATGCAGCCTATCCTGCAGATTTTGGATTTACCAAGCCTCCACCATTGCATGAGCCAATTCCTTATAATAAATAAATTGCTTGCTCACTCTCACTATATATGAATACAGACATACTGTTGGTTCTGTTTCTCTAGAGAACCGTGAATAATACAGATGGTAATCCCAGAACCAGGACTGTCTGTCAACTGTTAGACAAACTATTTTCACTTCCCAAGGAGAGAAGCGAAGTAAAAAAAGGGGAAGAAAGTAGTCAAGGGAAACAGCAGAACTAAGTCAACTCACATACCTTTGTTTTTATTTATCTCTACTTAACAGCAAACTGATTATATGTGTTCAAGCAACAACTTACGTATACATAGTGTTCTAAAACTAAAAAGTTTAGTTTGGACCCATAAATTACCTCATAGAAATAAATATTGCCTGTATTTCCTTCCTGGTCTATTTTTCTTAAAACACCCAAGTAAATGCACTTATTACCACCTTCAGCCCAAAAAAGGGTTCCAGAATTAATACATCTTTATTCCCCACCAAGGATGGACAGACTTCAGTTTCCTGATCTGCTACTATGTAGTAATTAATAGTGGCAACATGCATTTTTATTTATTATAGGACTAACAATTGTAAAAGCTCAACTACACATATCAAACAAAGAACTTCATAAACGCTACTGTCTCAAACCAGGATTTTTATTATTAATAAAGCTAATTTTATTAAACAAAAACTTCAATAAAATTCTGGGGTATTATTTAAATGGTGTTTTTAGGATGTCTGTGCCAATTATCCACCTTAGTATGAAGTTTCTTGTGGTATGTCAGTACCTCAAACAACTAGTCCAATTCACAGTATTAGAAATCTATGTAGATCAGTTAAGGTCAGCATTGCCATATTCTATCTAAACCTTACTAAAGAGGAACAAAGAATATAATAAACTATTGATTTTATTTATTCCAATAGGATAAATATTTTATCTGGAAATGATAAATATTTGAGAAGGGGTTAAAAAATTCTGTTATACAGCTTCTGAACAATGTTCTTCAGAGTAAATATCATAATACTACATGTGTTAGTATCATATGTAGCTATAGCTGAAAAACTATATAACATCAAAACTCCAAAATTTAATTTTCAGTCGGCAGCAAGGTACTCACATTAAAAAAAAAAAAAAGTAAGTCTTTCCTTCAGAAACTGAAGAATTTGAGAGGTGGGCACCTGAATCAGTAAGATCTCAGTGAGAGGCAGAGACTCCCATTTTAATGAAATGATGGATCAGTGGGTGTCTGTGTGCTTGAGACACACAGAGGGTTAGATGCTTAGAGCACTGAGAAGTCATGCACAGGAAATCTTCTGCCGATGGGGAAATTCAAGGAGGTAGTAGGAAACATTACATTACCATTTGGAAAATATTTGAGATAAACAGACTATTAAAGAGATAACAGTAGCATATCAAGAGAGAAAGAGGAGTAGGAGTGGTTTGCCTAACTAAAGGAATACTTTATTACTGATATTGTTCAGAACCACCAGCATATGGTGATAATAAAAAGCAACAACTTTTAGTAGGTTTATTATTATTTTTAAATTGCCTACAGACAATGAACCCCTTGTTGCCTATACTTAGGGTACACTGATCCCCCCTGCTCCCTACCTTTTAGTACATAACTAACAGAGACTTCTGAAATAATCTGTTCTACATTATCCCTATGTCAAACAGAAAGTGTTCAAGCTACATCAACAGAAAGAGCTTTACCAAAAGACAGAGAAAAGAAATTAGACCTCTTAATTATTTACACTACTGTAGCTAACTATAAGTGATTCAAGTACATTATATATTATTAACATAAAAATCTAAATACTGGTTTAACCTCAGTCTGTACTTACCTAATAAATATACATATTTTAAAAATGAAAAAAAAATTAACAAGAAAAAGAAAATGTAGAGCTATCTTAGCATAATTGACTCTATGGGGAAAAATGCCTATAGCCAGTTTTATTCTTTTAGAGATTATAAAAAAGGTCGGCAGCTCAAAAGTTTTTCCCTAAACTGACTCCACCCCTGAAGGCTGAAATTTATTTTCAGCTTCATAAAAAGCCAAAGGACTTGTTTTATTTCTGTTCTGCACTTGTAAATCCATCATTGTAAGTAAAATATTTTAACTCTATTAAAGATAAAAGTTTGCAGAAGAAAAATAGTTCAACCAAATTTCTGCTGTATTATTGGTCCTAGTCTAAATACTTTTTTGGTATGAGAACTGAAGATAAAATAACTACCACCAAATGTACTTCAAGGCGGTTTCTTGAAGCTAGAAAGCAGCAGAATCTGTACCATTAGAACAGTTCATTCAAAGGCCAGAAATTGGAAGCATTAAATACAGAGCAGCTTGGAAAGCATCTGCGTGAGGGCCTAGATCAGCTCAACCTCAAAATCTGCAGGGTTTTTCCTATGCACACATATGATTAGAGATAAAACCATCACTTCCAGCATTGTATTTATAATAATTAGGAATGAAAGTGCTGTTATAAACCTGACTGTAGTTACTACCTTTACAGAAAAAAAAGAACTACAAAAGTACAATGTAATTACATGATGAGAAAGAGTAATTTGAGGTTTAAGTTATTTTAAATCGATGACAATTTAATGAATAATAATATGCTAGATGGGTGAATAAAAGCATAAACTATTTTGCCACATAAAAATAAAAACGTCAATTTCTAAAGTTTCTAAATTCTTAAAAATTTAATGCACCTAAACAGACTTATTGGCCAGCCAACTGCTATTAATATAGTGGGGTTTAAAAAATAAACAGATGGAATTAACATTTTTCTTTCCTGATATCTAAGTTAGTATGAATTAGGCTCCAAAAGTTTTATTTTCAAGTTATTCATAAATATATCAATTTCCAGAGTTTTCCTGGCTTCTAATAATAAATATAAAATAAGCCCATGCTTTACTTACAGACTTAAAAGGAAACAAAAGCTTAGGTATACAAATGTGTCTTCTTTCGCCTCACAATAAACACCAGTTAGTGTATGTCAGAAAAGCAGGATGCATTATGTAAAAAGGTTAAAACTAGGTCATGTTTTAAAACTGTAGCATTCTCATTCCTTCTGTAAGGTTTGCAGGCCTACATATAACACTCATATCTACAAACAACTAGAAAAGCATCCAACTATACACACATCTTTCTAGTTTAAACCCAACTATAGATCAACTTACCAAATCCCTGTGCAACACCCAGTTAGCATGCAGGTAGTGAATCCCATCCAGGATCTGATATAATAGTGACTTCACCATTCCCCGAGGTAACTGAACTGGCTTCTTGTTTGCTTTAGAAGCTCTGTGAAACTTGATTATATGCTGAAAGAAAGAAAAAATATCACAAGAAGCTTAAAAAAGAGGGAAAGATAATTTGATGTATAATATTTTTCTATCAGAAAAAGAAATATTCAGTGATTCCCCAAAATACTGAAAATATAATTTCAGACTATTGAATAACATAAATAACTTTAAAATTCCCTACTTTGGGCCGGCCCGGTGGCGCACTGCTACAGTGCACCGCTTGGGAGTGTGGCGGCGGCGCTCCCACCGAGGGTTCGGATCCCACATATAGACCGGTTCCCGCTCACTGGCTGAGCGAGGTGCGGGTGCGACGCTGAGGGTTGCGATCCCGTTGCCGGTCTCGGTCCGGTACGGGCGTGACACTGAGGGTTGCGATCCGTTGCCGGACACGAAAAAAGACAAAAAGGAAAAAATAAAAAAATAATAAAAAATAAAATAAAATTCCCTACTTTAAAAGGAAGCTAAAATTCTATATATGACAGTGTCTCAGGAAATACATGACTGCAACAGGGAAGTAGGAAACCTTGTGCTTTTATTTTTGAAGTATAATTAAAACTTGATTGCTTCCAGAGTGCACGTTTCCCTCAGTATCTGTGGGGGACTTGTCCCAGGACCTTCCTCTTATGCCAAAATCCGAGGATGCCCAAGTCCCTGATATAAAATAGTGTAGTATTTGCATATAACCCATGCACATCCTCCCATATACTTTAAATCATCTCTAGATTACTTACAATACCTAATACAATGTAAATGCTATGTAAATAGCTGTTACACTGTTTTGTTTAGGGAATAAAGACAATAAAGTCTGTACATGTTTAGTACAGTTGCGATTTTTTTCTGAATATTTTCCATCTGCAGTTGGGTGAATCCATCACTATGGAGGGGTGACTGTACACTTGACCCTGTTTATCTGTTAGGAATTTTCAAGAACAAAATCTTTTTTATTCTGTACTGATAAAATGAAAACAAAACAAAAAGAACAAAGTTCAAGAGATACATCTGGCTGGCTGACAGATGTGGTACCTTTTTATGACATAGATTATAAAGAAAGCAAGTGGGGAGATACTTCAATAAAATGCACATAAGCACAAAGAAATAACACCATATAAATGACCAGTTCACACTGGAAATATTTAGAAATAAGAAAGATTCAGATAAAGAAAAGAAAAAAAAAACTGCCTTGTACCATCCATCAAAGCTTTCTACATACAGTATTTTTGGACATCCAGTAAAGAAAGTATAACTTTATAAATACAAAAGTTACTTTATAAATAAATGTACCTCAAAAGTTTTTTTTTTTTTTTTAAGTTTCAGACTCTCTTGGTAGGCTTTTTCATTTTAATTAAAGCACTCAAATTACAGGAAAATGTATAAGTCAGCTGCAGTCAACTATACCTTGCACACAATTGTACATATACCTGGCACTTAATACTGTACAAAGCAGACTCTAGATCAATATTTGTGAATATTAAGCATATTCTTGAAATTAGTAAACACAATGAAAACAGGAGTGAGATATTTAACATTATAGGACAACACTTTCACTTTCTACTTTCTTATGATATACAGAATACAACATGGATAAGGAATAACTAGTGATTAATGAGTACAAGAGTTTTACTTTCCAAGGAAAACCTATATAGCAAAGAATACCTAGTGGGAAGGTAAAGTGTATCAGTCAGTACGTATGTAGTATGATTAAGGTGTACTATTTATTAGCAGCATTACGCTAATTTAATTTTCTCGTTTTTTTCCCCAAGGTGTTTAGTAGCAGGCAAACAAAACAGAACTACAACTTAATAATATAGAATGTTTTGTCACCTGTCCTAAGATATGATGTGACAATCAAGTTTGTTTTCCTCACGAATAAGATTCACTGGCTCTCTAAGCTTAACAAAAATAGGTTAGAATAGAGCAATTTTTTAAAAAAAATTTAAGGGGCTGGCCAGTTAGCTCAGTTGGTTAGAGTGCGGTTTTACAACACCAAAGTCAAAGGTTTGAATCCCTGTCCAGCAATCAATCAATCAATATATGAAACCCTGACAGAGTAAAAAAGAAAAGAACAAATATGTAGGGGAGTTAAAATAATTAATTGATTCCATATACATTTCTTCAGTTAACACTTTCATTAGGGTATTACAAGTGACTCTTTCATTAATATTTTCAAACTACAAAAAAATACAGTGGGAGGAATTTCTTACCTTCATATTCCTGGGCTATATCACAAATACGTGGTACATATAACATGAAATCTCACCAACATCTAAGTGACTTTTTAAAAATAACTCTTTTTACTGCAACTGCTTTGTTACTCTCTGCTGCCTTATCCCAGCCAATTCACTTCACCATTCCAATTAAAATAAGAAAATAAAATGAATAAAGGAGTGGGTTTTAGTAAAGTAAATTATCATTTGTTTTTTATGAAAATGAACATTAAAAATACTTATTTGGCTTAAATGAGTATTAAGACGAACTATTTATACACATTTTGCAACATTATATGCAATACAATTTGCTAAAGTATAATCACTGTACCTACACATAAAATTAAGTATTACACACCAACCTGCTGGAAATCATATTGAATGCAATACCATCTCCTATGCTCTGCTATGATTTATTACAAGTCTTCTTTATAAATCAGCCTGGAAAACTTCTTAAGTTTCGATTATATGATCTGATTTCACATTAGGGTTCAGAATAGTGAGTGTTCAATTCAATATTGTCATTCTTACTTAACAAATTTTTATTAATAGAATCCCAATTTGATTTGATTAGATTTCTTTTAAAATAAAAGAACAGAAACTGACACCCAAAGAAAGAAAGGAAAGTTTACAACCAGCATGAATCTTGAACAATGGTTTCATAAAACAGAGAGAAAATTTCATGTGTCTATTTTCTGTTTTAAAACAATTCTTTCTAGATAACATCTTTAAAAAGTTTAATTAAATTTGCATTTAGTCATGAAAAATAGTTATCTATAAATGGAGTGAAAATATTTCTTATAAATCTGAAAGCATATGAAACCCAGACTGTTTCAATTTCTGAAATGTTACAGTTAAAATTACGTAAATGAGGATAAATCTGAAAATTAGCAAAATAGTTTGAAACTTTCTTACTATTTTCAGAGTTGAATTTACTTTTTCCAAAAATTTTTTTTTTTTCTGACCGGTAAGGGGATCGTAACCCTCGGCACGGTGTCGTCTGCATCACGCTCAGCCAGTGAGCGCACTGGCCATCTCTATATAGGATCCGAACCCGCGGCCTCGGCGCTGCCAGCGCCACACTCTCCCAAATGAGCCACGGGGCCGGCCCTGAGTTGAATTTACTTTTTAAAAATAGTTTCGCTGGTATTTGTTATAGTTTTATTTCAAGATTTTGAATTTGCATTTAGAAAATACAGCTGAGTGAAAATAGAAATTGTTTTGAAGATTTTTGAAAAATGAGCCATGATCTTATGATCACTTGCATATCAGTACATATGTTTTTTATTTATTTCAATAAAAGCATGGCCATGTTAATTTAGTAAATAAGAACTAATGTAGGGACCCCATGGGCGCCTGAACAAAGGACACACCCTGGCAATATGGCGCCCTTCCTGGTTCTTCTCTGCAGTAAACAAGCTCGCTGGCGCCAACACCCAAGCCCACCTGCGCCAAACCTCAGCCAGTCACAGGTCAAGGCTCACCTCCTGCCCAGCCCCGTCCAATCAGTTACCGCCCCGTCCACTCTCTCTCCTGCCCCGGAGCACAGCACCCTATAAATGTATGTGCAGTCCTTGAATAAAGCGGAACTTCTTTTTTTTTTTTTAAAGATGACCGGTAAGGGGATCTCAACACTTGGCTTGGTGTTGTCAGCACCACGTTCAGCCAGCGAGCAAACCGGCCATCCCTATATAGGATCCGAACCCGTGGCCTTGGTGTTATCAGCACCGCACTCTACCAAGTGAGCCACGGGCCGGCCTATAAAGCGGAACTTCTCTGGCGAACTGTTAGCCCGGGTCTCGCGTGCTTCCTTTGTCCGTGCGTCCCCTTCATTTGGTGCCGAAACCCGGGAAGGAGTTCACCCTGCGACAGGGGACTCCTTCCTCGGACCTCCTCCGCAACCCCCCGGGATTGACGGTCCGCCCCCGTCCGTTTTCTCCGGCTCTGGCTTCCTTCACCCACCACCAGCTCATCCGTTAGGTAAGCCCTTTTTCCTTTTGTCAGGCTTGTAGATTATTTAAACCTTCACCCTAATCACATTCCCCCGGCCCCGGCATTGACACGTTCCCGGCCCCACAGGCTGAACCTCCCATTCCTCCCTCTCTCTTTCTCTCACTCCTTTTAACCTTCCTCCTTCCTGAGTTCATCCTTGAACCCATCTAACCTTCCTCCTACCAGCATCCTTGAACCCATCTAACGTTCCTCCTACCAGGTCCAGGACCCCCGCTGTCCAGTAAACCCTAGCACGCTAGGTCTCTCCGGCTTCCAGCACAGTTGCCTCCAGGAAGTGAGGGTCTAGGTGACGACCTACACCCCTTTCCCTCCTGGGTTCATACCCATCTCCTGGGAAAGGCACGACTCATTGGGGACGCCCTCTGAGTTCTGTCCTTCTCATCCGTCTGGAGGGCTCATTCTATCCTCCTTTTAAACCTTCTCTCTCTCTCTCTCTCTCTCTCTCTCTCTAATCCTCTTCAGAGTGGGAGCTTCCGCCTCCTCCCTCCGGGGTGATTCACCCTTATAATGTCTCTTAAACAACCTTACCACCCTGTCCCTCAAGCCTGACATCAAACCCAAACTCCTCACTAAATTTTGCACACAAGATTGGCCTTATTATCCCCTAGATAACCAAAATAAGTGGCCCCCTGAGGGCACACTCGATCCCAACATTCTCCGGGACCTTGTTAATTACTGCCAGTGCCTGAGAAAGTGGAAAGAGATTCCACATGTGGAGGCTTTCCACCTACTTGCCCAAAATCCCTCTCTCTGTCTCACCTGTTCTCCCTCCCAGGTTCTCCTTGCATCCAAACCC